AACACACTGACCTTAGCATCCATCCACCTGTATTCCTAGGGAAAGCATGGCTATTACTAGTTTTAGAGAAAGAAAAGGGTTAACAGAATAAAAGTTACTATCATGCTTTTAAAAATTATCATGACCATTTTTGTTTTATTTCGCCAAAGGAAAGAATTTAGACTGTACAATGTTCAATTGATGAACTATTGTTTAAATATCCAGATTCTATTTAATTTCTATAAATTGACTGTTCAAAGTCCCAGATTTCAACATTTCAAAGCAAAAGTCCTAAGTTTTTTTTAAAATTTGATAAAGATCTATCATCAATGAATTCAGAAAAAAAACTATGTGTAATTGGTGCTTCTAGCAGCCACTATGGATTGCATTCCTTCGGTTCTTTAGACCCAAAGTGAGTGCCTAAAATTGCTTTAATTTGATCATAGTCAAAAGTACCTCTTTCTCTTGCAGCTCCATTAAGCATCTTCAATTTTGTAGGATGCAAAAGTGAAGTTTGCACATCAAGTTCTTGGAAGCTCAATTTTCTTCTAGATAGAAAAAAGAAGAAAGTGCTTTTCAGTTGAAAAATAGAACCAAATGACAGCGCCATATAAAAAATTATGACTTACTTTCAAATTTTAGTTTCATATAGTTTGATGGAAAAGAAAAGGAGGGGAGGAAGAGCACTGATCAAGGACAAAGAGGATCCATCTCAGTCCATTTCCATAACTGTGTGCAATTGTTTCCTAGGATGTATTTTCTACTGCTTGGTCCAGAATAGTTTTAAATGACTTAAGTGATGGAACCTCCAGTTCTGTCCTTTAAAAGATATCCTGTAATCTATATGGCCTGCAAAATACTGGTCGTATAAACCCACATCCTTACTAAATTACTTTAGAAACCTCAGGGCAAACACAGCAGTGTATGTGACTTGCCTGAGGTTGAGAAAAGCCTGTGGCAGAACAAGAATACAACACAAGAGGCTTAATCCCAAGAGGAGAGTTCAATGCAGAAATGCCTCCATAAACTTGACCAGATGGTAACAGAAGTAAAGACATTAAGAGACAGTTATGCTGACCCTGAAGAAGCAGATGGTGCAAACAAACAAAAAAACAGAAAAACACAATAAATAAGTCTCAACAAGAACCAAAAGAAATAGGAAATGAATAAAGTACCTAGGCTACATTGTAGAGCAGTTATAGCCTGATCCATTGCAGCTCCAAGGGCTTTTAACTGACATTGATTTAAAGAAAATATAGGGGTCTTCCAGCCCCTTGCCAAGTCAACCCCTAGCAGTTTTTGATATAGAGGAGAAATCAGAAGAGTATCTGGCATACTTTCTGGGGATTTCTTTTTTTTTTTTTTATCCCTGAAACCTTAATATTGCATCTCACCCCAGGAAGCAAAAATCTTTATTACAGGTGTCACAGGGAGTGATGCCTACAGTTAATATTTCTTAACAGTCTTATAAGACCCAGCTTTCCACTTGCTTGTAACATTGCCTAGTACCCTTTGGGATGAAAAGTCCTGTGCTGGGTGCCTGCCTTGGGATAGTTTGGGTTTGTTTGTTTGCTGTTTTTTTTTTGTTTTGCTTTATTTTGGAAAATCTTTGTAACAATTCAGTTTTGTCAGAACAAGGTTAAGGAAAATACGTTTGGCCTAGGTTAAAGTATCTCAGTGAAAAAAAAATCTAGTGCCTTCATGCTTTGGAGACGAGATCTTGTAATTTGGCAGAGGAGGATGTTCCAGTGTCAGGGATATATCTTTTCCTCTTCTTGTGAAATGCTGCCTAAATTTGGCCCAAGTTTTACTGCTGGAGGTGTATGTTCAGCAGAGACTTGTCACAGCATCACAGCTAAATTCTCTTTAGAAGATCCCACCTGCACTGAACCCCCTGTATCCCCAGCATGCCGCTGGGAATGTGCACACGCCATCCATGCCAAACCCAGCACTGCAGGGGCCAAGCAGGACATCTCCTGAAATGATTCCTTCTGGTAGCTAGACCATGCAATGGAGAGGGGGAAAACTGCCTATACTATTCTTTCAGGGCTCCCTCTATTAATGACCAGGTAAAATGGAGAAGAAGTAGAAACCACCTGAAAAGAACACAGAGAAGTGAGGTTAGGAATAGATACAAGGTTCAGAGTACAGGGAGGAATTTAGCTCAGGAGACGAGTGGGCAAGAACCTACTCCAAGTGTAGAAAGAGAGAAAAAAAAAGAAGTTGACATCAATGAGAGTGGAAAGAAGACAAAGAGTTGACGGGGAGTAGAAGAAATAGAAGTCCCAGAAGGATGAGTAGAGGAAGGGGAAGCAGCTGTGGGAGGAGGAAAGGAAAAACAGAGAATAACAGCACCAGACAGGGAAGAAAGGGCAAAAGTATGGAATTGGGGGAAGGAGGGCAGAGCAAGAGTAAGAGAGAGAGAGAGAGCACAAATATGCAAGAAAAGGGCACAAAAGGGAACAGAACACAGAAACAGAAGGGGATGGGACAAGCTGAAGAAACAGGAAAAAGATTTATAACCCTGTCGAACCTGGAGTTAGACTCTGCACTCCTTTGCTGTCTAGCAAAAGATATGAAATGACTGGCAAATTGTGTCTCATTCCCCTCTGACTGTCATCTGTTGCAGTTGTTTCATTATCTGAAGTAATAAAAGAGTGTACTGAGGAACTTAAGGTCCCAACCCCACTGATGACCAGTGTGGGAGGTCTAGATGATGCCACAAGATCGAATTTTAGCAGGTCCTTTTATAAAGAAATCACTAGATTTCTAAGTTACATTCAATGTAGCAATATTGAAAGACAATTTTAGAAGTTAGGAAGTCAAGTACTCAGCAGTTAGGAACTATCAGCATTAAGATTGCTCATGCATGCTTAATTCAGCCCCCTTAGGCTCATGCATCACCATACAGACTTTAACTACATGATCATAAACACAGGACCCCCCACTTTGTTCAGCAAACAGTATGGATCGTGCTCAGGGAATAAATCAGAGTTGTGTATTCAATGTGAGACACTTAGGGTTTGATTTGCAGAAATGCTGAGCACTCACGGCTGCAATTGAGGTCAATAGGAGTTGTTCTTTGAACATATAAAATTCCATATCCTAAACACTCTGAAAATTAGACCCTAGTCATCTGAAATTGGCCACCCAAAATTAGTTGGCTCTTCTGATCATTTTGATCTTAATCTCTGTGCCTCAGTTCTCCAGGGTGACAGTAGGGATGATGATACTTCTTGCTCTCATTCAGGTTTGCAATGATTAATATAGTAGCATTCACTAAGACGCTATGCTGAGAGCACTGTAGGAAAGCACAGAAGGAAATTAATAATTTTGTATTCAGTCCAGGATTTTGATGGTATGAAGTAAATAATGCACAAGGCCACACGCTGAATGATGATAAAAAGAAATATTGACAAGTTAGCTGTTTAGTAAGCACCACCCATTCTTTACACTGAATGAAGCTGAGGTCACATGGGTAAAAAGGTAAGTAGTCATGAAAAGCCTTTATCAAGATTCAGAAACACAAGGGGTTTGAAATTAGGATTGCACAGGAAACTTGAATACTGGTTTTTCCTAACTTCTGAGAAATTGACTTTTCAACCTCAACATTGTTTTTAATTTAGGGTTTGTTTTGGTGTTTTTCTATGTCATTATAAAACTTTATGCCACTCAGTGGAATACAAACTGCGAGGCTGGTGGAGTTTAAAAGCTCCTCGGGCTGCAATTAGAGGTACTCCAAACTGACACCAAAGCAGCTCTCTCTCGAGATATTAAATTGAGTGAACTGAGTGCCCTTGAAATGAACCAATCCAGATATAAAAATGTTCAGACCCATAATGTTAACAATCACCAATTTAAAGGTAATATTATTTCACTTCCTACTCCACGCAAAGATGTTACTAGAGGTAAGAAATGACTTATTAAAAAGGTAAGCAAATCTGTTATCCATAGCCAAAAAAAAAAAAGAAAAAGAAAGGTATTGGTCTCTCTCTCTCTGGTCTCACAGGCCTTGGGGGGGCTGTAATCCCTTAACTACAGCCTTCCAACTCCTCCTACCTTGTGCAAACTCCTTCCACCTTGACAAATCTTTGCTAATCCCTTCCAGATCAGTTTTTGTGTTGCCTTGGTCTACCACAAGGTCTGATACCCTCCACAGTCATCTCAGATTCAGTAAATACAGTAATTATGCAAGATTATATTCATGCATATGATCTGTACCCCAACCTGCAGAAGAAGGTGTTAACTTTCCTGGATCCCTGACAATCTTGACTTAACAGGAAAGTTTCCTCCTGTTCCCAAGATCCAGCAAACAGCCAGACCCTACATATGTGAGCTAGATTCACTAACCTGGTGTCTGTGAAAAAGATGGTTTTGTACCATTCTAGAGCTCTGCTCCATGCCATCTCTACCTTTGATCCTTGCCTAAGGACTCCAAGGAAGGCATTGCAAAAACCAAGAACATTTTGCCAATTGTACATTGTGGGGAAAAAAATCCTTCCTGACCTCTGAAGCCATGAAGCATGAGATTTGATTATAGTCATTGTCTAGGTACAGTGTTATCAGCAAACTGACAGCAATAAAGAGTCATCTATTCTCTCCTAGCCCATGGAGGGAGTGGAAAGAACTACATATTTGCAATGTCACAGTCCCTTGTTAAGCTGCCCCTTCGGAGACTTTTGCAATACCTTGAGTACACACACCTCTTTCAAGAGGCTTCTCTATGCCTGCAAGTCCCTTTGGGGAAGCATCTTATGATACTATCACTCTCTGACTGGGACTCTGGGATACACTCCCCTGTTGCTGACGGTGTTACCTCACTCGCCTAAGGGACTTGACACCTTTGCGTGTTTTCCTTCAGGAAGCTACAGACAATAATAATATGCCATGACAGCTTCTACAGAATGAAGTCTGATTTATTTTGCCCAAAGATATGCAGCATTCATGGTAATGGATTCAAAATAGCAAATATGTATGCACACACTGCTTTGCCCCCAACTTAGGTAAATGGATTCAAAATAATGGATTCAAAATAACATACATATATGCACAAATTCTTGGCTTTTCTCTCAAGTCCCTACAGAGATGTGATTTGACCTTGGCACCACCTTCACTCTCCGGGGCCAAATTACAGCTCTTAATTCTCAGTCAATCTGTGTCAGCCTGCAACAGCTGACCACTGCCCCCTCCCTCTGTGAAGGGCTGATCTTTAAACAGATTGATGCCCTTTGATCTCCCTGTTCTCAGCTTTGGCAAAAACATCCCTGCCTGTCATCAGATTTGGAATGAGGGAGACTTTCTTCACAGTTATAATCCCTATTGTGTAAAAGTATTTCCAGGGATGAGCCCTAATCTACCTTTGTTTTTGTTCTACCTTTTCTGCCTGGTTTCTTTAACAACCTCTTTTGATTTTACTTTGTGGCAAATAATCTATTATAAGCAAGCACATAGAGACATGCACAGTGTTCATACAGAATGATGTAGCTATTTCCATATTCTTCACAAACCAAGTCAGAAACTCCAAGGCAGAATTTCTCCTGGAAGTTCA